AAAAGGAGACTTTTTAATGTGGGAAAAAAAAAATTTGAACCCCCCCCCCCCCCACACACACACACACCACCACCACCAAAAAAGAAATGAACATTTCCTCCCCCTTATCTATCAGAACCTTGGAGAAAGAAGTATAAGACCTGCCAACAACATTTTAATTCCAATGCATTCTGATTAAGGCTTCATAAAGTCTGAATAAACGTATGGCAACAATTTCAGTGGAACAACACACCAAATTTTTAACCATACACAATTTCTTAAGAATAACACTAATCTTGAGTAGAATCAAAACAAGAAGAAAACTGTCAACTTTAAACTCATTGCAATTGTAAAGCCTTCCAAGTCTTCGACTATTCTCTAAGCATACGCCTACTAAAATAAACTAGAATTGTAGAATCCAACTTTCAACAACCATCAAAACTCAAAAGCCATGCCTATCATGTTCCAGTGATACATGAAACGTATGTATTAAGTCCTAAGGTATAATTAATTCTAACAGATGAACTCTGCTCATATTTTAAACAACTTAGAAATCCTTGGGCCAAATTATTAATTAAAAAAATAAATAAGAAGCAGATCAGTACCTTAGCATCAGAGAGCTGCTGTTGAGTATACTTCAGTAAAGTGTCCTTTTCGGAAGTCTGGTGTTTCAGTTCATCAAGTTTTGCATTAAAAGCATTCATCTGGTCTCTTGAGTTTTCTGCTGACTTTAAAAGTTCATCTTTCTCCAACAATTTCCTCTGAAGTTCCTCTACTTGCTCCTTCAACATACCCATTTCCTCGCTGTCCCTTTCTGAAGCCAAAGATCTTGAAGATAACACGGAATAGCTATCAGCATCATTGCTGCCATTTTTTCCTTGTTCTTTTTCTCCATGGTCCCTTTTCTTTTTGGCAGGAATAGATTGGGCAACATTCCTACTTTTTGAATCTGCTGCCTACCAGAGAATGCAAATGATTCAGTACAACAATCACAGCAAAGAAATGTCAGCCATAATGCATTGTGCACATCAAATTTAACTGTTATGTGAGAAATTATTCTTTTGAAACAATAGCATAAGCAAGTTCAATCTAGAGTAAGAAAGTGAGAGATATTTATAAAATTGAACTTGGAACATTTGTAAGTAGGACTGAAGCAGTAAATGATACGGAAAATATATGGTCGGTAAGATAAACCTCCAGGTTGGGAAAACAAAATCTTAGACCTTCAGAGTCATACCAATGGGCCTAGCAATCCTTCAGTTGTGTTATCTAACATTGCTAAATCACAATATAAACAAAAAGAACTTTCTGCAAACCATCTTACTGAAGGTTTTCCAGTCAAAGTAAAGGAAATTTAGTAAAGGTTAAATCCACAATGAGTGAGTCAAGGTGGTATGAAGTTTCATTTCAACCACCTGGGATCAACACGTGAGTTTGAATCTCAACTTCTTAAGGAAGCAACTCTTGTAGAGAGACGTATAACCCTTGTGCTCCCATGGTCAAACAAAGATTAGTCTCCCAGACAACTCAAAGGGACCAAGCCAATAGGGATACCTCATGGGTTCTCTAAAAGGAAAAAGGAAGTTTACTGTCCAAACAAAGTGTTTTAATTAAGTGATGAAGTATGTAAAAGGTCACAATACAGGTGATTAAAGAGAAAGTATGTACCTCGTATGATGAAGTACACAGAAGATTGAAAATTATTATATTTAATATTCAACGTCCAAATATCATTAGTACTAACATTATTATTTCAAAGCAGGTGATTGAAGAGAAAATAAAGCACACAAAAGTTATGTCACTCACAAAATATGTATTTACATGAATAACTATCATATACCAACCCGTCCACAAATAGTTCCCCAGAAGTAAACGTGCAGCAACATGCATTTAAGAAGCAATAAAAAGTAAGTACTCAATGTGGTATGCTAGAAATATGCACAGCTTTTATAGTATCTGTGCTTGAGAAGGAAATAGCTTAGTTCCACAAATTTTCATATATAATCTCCATTACGGCTACCACCCATAATCACAATCACATAGGTAAATTCATGCAACACAAGGATAGTTGTATTAATATCATAGACTCAAAATTAGGTACATCTTCAAGCCTATATTCTAGTGAGAATTCAAATTTAAACAGAAAGAGGTAAACAACAAAAAAAGAGTTTGCACCATTCCAAGTACCACTCCAGAGAATGTCAAATATTTACATTTACATATTATAACAAATGGAAGGAAACCCCGAACTTCTTCCACGATTCAACATATCAAGCAAGATTTATGAACATTAAATAAAACCCAATAGGAATTGGAAGTAAGAAAAAGAATCGAGAAAATTCAAATCAGCAAAGAGGGAAAAAGTGCTCCGATCTTACTCTTTTGGACAATGTTTCTCTTGTAGGCGTCTTGGTGTAGATCATGGAACCACGCCGCGTGAATGAACGGCTTGCTTTACGATCCTAATCACAATTAACCAACAACACAACACTTAATTAAATTCAAATTCAATAGCACCACTTATCACAAAATTTAAAATAAAAAAAAATAAAAAAAGTACAAGTCACTAGCTTTGAGTATGTTCTCAACACACAAGCCAAAACAGTAGAATCCAAACTACATAATTGATAATTCCCAAGTAGTTGTTTCCTTTTCCTCTTCCACATAAATAAATCAAAATACTCCTAACAGATAAAAAAAAAAAATCATCTTTTTGGCGTTGCCCTGAATTTGGAAGAAACGAGAGTGAAAGGGGAAAAGGGCTTACGATGAGGGACTGAACTAGAGGGACAATCTCGACGAGGTCGTTGAAGAGGACGCGATCCAAATTGGTATTCGGTGCCGCACCGGATTGCTCTTTCGCTGAAAGCCATGAATTCGCCTCACCCAACTCCGAATTCTCTTGCAAATCCACGAAATGCTGCATTTTTCTACTTTCTCGTCGGAGAGGAGAGAGAAAGTTAGAGAGAGAAAGACTCTGAGGTGACTAAACTTTGAAAATGCCTCACTCTCCTTTGCACAGACAAAACAAAACAACGGATATTCAATTGGAAATGACGGATTTGCCCCTCCACCTTACTTTCATAAACTGCTACGCACTAATTGTTAAAATAATAATATTACCATGTTTAATTAACACAGCAATTTCGGATTAATTGCCCTTATGTGACATTCTGAAGTCCATATCCAGAAAATGGAAGAATAATGTAAGTAACATTGTGGCGTAAGTGAATTTCTTGTGTCCCTTCTACTACACTTATGGACTATAAGCATTTTAGTTTATTACCTTCAACAATCTAGATTAAGCTTTCTCATTAAAAATCATTGCATCTCTCTCATTTGACAGTTTTTTTTTTAATTTTTAAAATTTTATGGGGATTGGTATGGAAAGGAGAGGGAACTAGAGTCTAATTAGTTTTGTTTTCCTTAATTAATAGGAAGTATTGATGACAAAAGAACACGTTGAAGGACATCAATGATCAATCTTATTATGGACGAATTCCGAATTAGTTTTTTTTTTTAAACACCCACCCTTTAATTTTGCCAATTTTACCTACTGTATCACATTAAAGATTTTAGGCTTTCTTCTTCGTGTTGACTGTTGATGTTGTTATTTGGCAAATTTCTTGGTCGCCATACAAAATGATCGTATTTCAGTGAATGCATTTATCGTATTTGCGTGCAGCTGTTGGCGTGTGAGAGAGAAAGAGGGAGAATCTGTTTGAATATAACTTAGAAATACTTTTTTTTTAATTATTAAAAATTAAAAATATTTTTTAATAAAAAAATTCAAAAAAAATACTTCTAAATTTGTTATATCCAAATGTATAGTAATCCTTTCAACAAAACTTACAAATGGCAACTATCTCTTTTGACATCTTCTGTAAGAATTATTCTCTTGATATTTCCAGTATAAGAAGCTCAAATATATATATATAACATATTAAAGGTTCCAACGTTATTTCAACGGTTATATTTGATGGTATAAATTCTAGTATTTTGCAAACGAGAATAACTAAAATTACACTCTATTTTAGTGTTGTATATTGTGTTTCTTTATGCATTTTAAAATTTTTCATTAATTTTGATTAATCTGTATTTTTTTATTAATTTCAATTTAAAAGTATATTTTTTTAATTAAAATGTACTGTATACTTATTTTTATTTGATATTTTACATTAAAATATATTAAATTGAAATTAACATCAATAATAAAATATAGAAGAATTAGATATACTGTGGGGTCCGTTTGAAAAACTTTAGTAAACTTTTTGATTGGAGGAAAAATTGATTGAATTTCTTAAAGTAATAATGATAATATGACATTATAAGAAAGTGTGAAATATTATTAAAATTTTAGTAGAGAAACTACCTTGAATTTTACACCTGTATAGTAAACTAAAAAATGTCATTTATGATCATTAGAACCCTTGTTGGAATTATCTAATCATTCTTGTGGATTACAATCATTTGTGGTTTTGTATGTCTTAATAAAAATGACCTAATTGATTGTCCAAGTATGAAGGTGCATTAAGTAAGCCCAAATCTTAACTTGAGTGATCCTTTTAGTTGGGCCTGGATCTTTGTAACATTGAAAGGTGTGGCTAGGCCATGAAGGGAAAGCAATGAGATTAAAATGCTTTGGTTACGGAAGGATCCTTCCTCGTTCATATTATATTGCACCCTAGACTTGTGAATACAGAATGTGAACAGAAAATAAGAAAGCCCAAATCATGTCTAAAATAAATTGGTCTCAGCTTGGTGTTCTAGTTTCATGTGACCTTGTGGTATGTGTTTTTATTTATAGCCCGCACTGAACTCACGAGATGCATAGTAGTAATAGAATATCTTGTCTCTTTCTTTGCCCCCATCCCAACATGAAACCGATCGACAACAATTCAAAATACGTAGTAACAATGGATATACTGTCCTCCAATTATTTCAAACGGGTCACAATGCCCCTCTCGACATCCTTGTATGTGATGAAAAAGCTTGCATGCATGGTTTCAAAAACTTGATGATGGATGGTAAAGTGGAGCTTGATTCAAGAAAGAACAAATGACCATCTATCGCCACAATTAGAAGACGGCATCAGAGACACTTGGTGAATCAAATTGAACTCATGCTTATGACAGATCGATTATTTTTAGGTTTAATTACAATTTTGCTTCATATAGTTTTATAAAGTTTGCATTTTAGTCTCATAATTATAAATATTTATTTTAGTTATATTCTAGTGTGGAAAATGTTTTAGAGATAATCTAACAGTTGTCCAAAATTAAAATATTTAAAAAAATGTATTTTACCTTGCATACCCAAGAACAAGGGGTTTTTTATGCAATTGTTATGTTTTTATAGCTCCAAGAATCTTAGGATTTTGTGGAAATTTATCTTATGATAGGCATTGTATTACGCTACTCAATCGTAGTTATTAATGATTATATTTAATGTCAAATATGAATTATTTTGAGATTTTTTTAGGGATAAGTCTAATTGACCTAATGATTTTCTTGACAAAATGTTAAAAAGTTATACTTGTCTATCAACCTTGAGACATTAATAATATAGAGGCTAAGTTTGAATACACTCTTAACGAAGTTGTTATACATATTATTTTTATTTCTTTGTAATTCTTATAGAAATGAATGATAAAGATTAAAAAAAAATAAAATATATATATATATATATAAAGATCATAATAAAACATTTTTAACTATAGGAACTAAAAGGTAAAGTTTATAAAATTATAAAGATCAAAAAATAATTAATTTTTATTTTTTGAACGAACATTTTTTATACCTTAATTTATACACTAAAATCTAAATTACACTATTTTTATAAAAAAATAAAAATTAAATGTGTTTAACATGTTATGTCTTAATAGATTAACTCGATAGTTTAATAACCAAAATTTTAGAAAAAAAGTGATTTGAAAAAAAATTGTATCAATTTTGTTGAACTTAACGGATCAATTGAGCTATGTTGAACTACTTATTTTTAGGCTTAAAATTCACTGAGTTTGTTTGACTTAATTTTATATTTTTTTCCTTTGAAAAATTTAAATAAAATGGAAAATAAAGTAAAGTTGACAAATGTGTCCTATTTTGATAGATAAATGAGTCAAAATTGTTCAATTCAAAATATCATAACAGTTTAGTGCAGTTTAAATTGCAGTTCAGTTCAAGTTTTTATAGTATAGTTCAGTTCAGTTCAATGACACAAAAGAATAGTTCAGTTCAGTTCGTCTGAACTAATATTTAGTTTAGTTCAGTTCATATGAACTACTTTTAAGTTCAGTATAGTTTTTATAAGTTCAGTTCAGTTCAGTTCGTTTTGCCCACCCCTAAAATTACTCTAATATTATTTTATAATTTAAGCTACAAGTGTGTGTTTTGGCCATGGTTATACCCGAAGTAATATACTATTCTTCTAACAGAGAGCAAGAGATATTTGAAATCCTTTCGCCCGGGACATCTATATTTTGTGTAGTGTGTGTGACATAGAGAAAATTTGCAGTGCCATGTTTCACTTTCATGGTGTTATAAGGTGCTAGTGGTCATTTAAATGCTTTCATATTTATGATTCGGGGTATGTGGGTTGATGCATGAGTTAGGAACTCGTCATGCAGCTCTTTTTTCCACCCTTTTATTACAATAGCGAATCGAAAAGATATTTTCCCTCCAAAACAAGATATGGATCAATGATTCTAAAGATATTTTTTATATGCTTTGAAAAGGAAAGAAGTGGTAGTCCCACGTCCATTTATTTAAGATAGAGAAATCGTTTGCCATGTCTGCATAATTGTTTATGCATGCTACGTCTAAGTCAGACCAACGGGTATCTAATTAATCCACGAAAGAACTTGAACGATCAAGCGTGACAAAAAGTATATAATTTGTGATATTTGGTAACAAATTCTGTGAATATCTTGATACGTTGGATAACAATACATGTGTTGATAGCTGAATTGATAACTTAGAATACGCATATTACAAGGGATGAAGAAGGCATGCAACAGCTGAGACATGCTCGAGAAAATGAAGCATGGCATTAATAATATTGTGCCAAATATGGATTTGCAGTTGAGGCAGAGAGTAGACAGAACCTCGTCCAAAAGAGAGCGCAGCATTGTTACGGAGAGCACAAGTACATGTACATGTAAAGAAGATAAGTAGCAGAAGTTGTACGTAACGCAATTAATATAAAGGGCAAAGATCGTGGGAAATCTGTTGGCAGAAGAAGAAGGAAAGGAATACATTCCAAACATTAACATCATTCATCACCAGACATAGGGTCTTTACTCTGACTGGGTTCAAGTGTGATAATTAAGGGTGTGTACTGTGTAGGGGAAG